AAAGCCTCTCAAATGGTATGCTGCAAGTGGGTCACAGGTGGGCAGAGATATTAATCTATTTAGTCCTCTCGACAGTGTTATGAGGACTGGGATAGCAAGTAAAGTCAGACCAGCTGGCCTTGGCCTTGAATAGTCTTATCCATTTACCCCAGTGTTCCCTACAAATGCCATACACTTTTTGTCTTATGTGATTTTGAAAATGGTTGGGAAGCACTGCTTTAAAACAAAATGAATTCACACTAGAAAGAAAAATAAAGACAAAGAGAGGAAATAACATCCAGTGAACAATTTGAACAATTCTTTTGAAAGCTGTAAAGTTGGCTAAAATGAGGTCACTGACCTAACAGAATGGAGTGATTCCCAACACAAGTCTACATGGGGGTCCTACAAGGAGAAGTGAATCAATTCATTCTATCACCAAGAAACCTGGGACTTGAAAGTTTCATACAGCTTCTAAAGTAGGAAAGGGGCACAGGGCTTAAAATAAGGGGCTGGTGATAGTCTGGATCCAGAACTCCATTTTGCTCACCCTGTAGCATCAGACAAGGATTTATTCCCTGGCAAAATTGAGCTAGAGTGGCTCTCAACCCAGGCACAGTGGGCTCAGAGATGAGGTAAACTCTCCAAATAGGCGTTTCTTGAAATTTTAGGTAGTAGCCTGTGAGACCTTCAGGCCCCTTTTCCTGTTCTAGTCCCAGAATTCACTCAGCCAGATAAATATTTCCTGGGCTGGTATTTGGAGCATTCTTCTGTGGAGAAACCAAAGAAAAGCCCTTCAAGTCCTGACATTGAGGGATCTGTCATGGGAAAGTCAAGCTCATTGCTTATGATGCAACAGTGAAGCCCAGTAGGCAACAGGTGAACCTAGAGTTTGCAGTCAGCCTTTTAGTGCCTTACTATTAAATATCAATGGATAGCTAAGATTGCAAATAATTTTTTATAATTTTTAATTCTCAGAAGAATTTTTCTGCTGATGCAACTGTTACTCAAGCTGTTAAGAATATTTTTAAAGATGGTGACCACATTGAGACACATTTATGAGAAATTATTTTGAGATACAAATTTTAGTGCATCTAGAGTCTGATTTTTGCAGACAATTTTTCTAAAAATATTTAACTCTTCATACAAATTTGTTTTGTGTAAATCTGAATGTAATTTTAAATTTAAATTTATACAATGGTATTTTCATGTTTCCTCTGGACATTTCTGTAATTTGTGGAGGTCTCACAAGAAACTAAAAGTGGCTTAATGATTTTCATATGATTCAAAACATTTGTTATGCAATTCCATGAAGGTCTTCACTACCTCACTGCACACAGAGAGGCTGGTTTTAGCTCCATAATCCATGGTTCAGTCCATATATTGACAACAGCAAAATACCCCTTTACTTTAGTTGTAAGGGTTTGGAGCAAATATCATCGTTTCTCATTTGGGGGCTCAGGAAACTACCTAGGGTTTTTGGGCCCACATAAGTGGAGAATGATGTCAACTAAGGCAAAGAAGGCATCATCCTTATCAGTATCAGTACCATCTTTAACAGAACTGTTCCCCCCAGAGTGAAATAAACCATTCCATGACCACAGACTGCATTTTCAAATCCTCATATCACAAACAGGTCCCTGGGCACCAGGCAGAACAGTCAATAGAGTGCAACTCACCCAACTCAAGCTGAATTGCAAAAAGCAATTCAAATCCAACTTGTACTTGCCTTGTTGGTAAGGTGGTTGCGGCAACCCTAGACTCTGTAGTGTCTCATTATCATACCTTGATCCTGGAAGTCTTGACAAAACCTCAATGATATCCCATTGGTTCTGAATTTCAATCCCTGCAGCCAACAGAATGCATTGTGCTGTTGTGCTCAGATATGGGCATTTGCTTTATCCCTGAAGTCTGGGGGGAAGCATTCAGCGTAAACCATATGGATCAAGATCTGGAGTCAGGTAGGGGTGCCTGGGTGGCTCAGTCAGATTGCTCAATTGGTTCAGCATCCCACTCTTGGTTTTGACTCAGGTCATGATCTCACAGTTTGTGAGTTCAAGCCCTGCATTGGACTGGGATTATCTCTTTCTCCCTCTCTCTCTGCCTCCGCTTGCTCTCTCTGTCTCTCAAAATAAAGAAATACACTTAAAAAAAAAAAAGATTTGGAGTCACATGGATGCCTAAATACTTGTTCCTGGAAGTAGAATAAAAGTATGTAGAGTCTAAGAAGTAATAAATACCTTCTCCAGTGGTGGTGGTAATGGAGACTGTAACCCTCTCATTGAATGAGAAGTCAGCTTTGAGTTAGAGAATGGGCTAAAGCTCAGTTTGTCATTGATATTGACCAGTCACAATGACTGGCTACAGCTCGTTTTACTCTAATACTCAGTGGGAAGAGATTAAGAGCAGTGAACAAGACCACCCAGGACATGATCCTACTTCACCAAATGGTGGGTAATGAAGAAATAATTCTATTATTCTATATTTATGTTTAGACCCCTGGGGTAATATTCTAAGTGGGTATTTTTAATCACAATTCAAATTTCCTCTTGCTGAAATCTTGCCCTTATTTCTTATTGTGGGTCTTCATGTTCAGTTAAAGAAAGGTTCTGGATTTCCCAAAATCAAGTTTAAGAACTCCCTGCCAAATACTAATGCTATTGAGAAAATCCAAACCTTTCTTTCTGGACTGCACCAGTGGTCCATTTTCATTATCATATGGGGATAAGTACTCAGAGAAGCTCCAATTTCTGTTTCTTGCTTCCCATGACTTCTGATTATAGTTGCTGCTAGGTGTCCTGAAGCTGATGTTTCCTCTATAGATTTTGCCGAGAGAGGAAGAACATACACTGTCATTGGCTACTGTACTTAGAATGGTTCCTAAACCCAAGCAAGAAAACCACAGTGATGTTGGCAAGCAAACAATTGAACAGTACAGGTGCTGGCAGTATGCACAGCCCCAAAATCAACATGACTTGGGAGGAGAGGGGGTTGGAGAACAATGAAAGGTGCTTTTCCATCAGAGAAATTTATTTCTTTTAAATATTTGCAATCTGTGGCCAATAGCACAGGAGGCCACTTGGCGTTATTTCCCCCACAAAGCAGAGAGCTGTGTGGTAATGAGCAGATGCTTGAGTGGCCTGTGGCGTGAGGTGCACCATCCGTCAAGAAGATCAATATTGACTGTTCTTGTATCTTTGTGGTGAAAGTTTGCTCTTCTTAAGCAAACAAAAAAAAAAAAAACAACACAAAAAAGTGGGGGTTGTGCTTTAATATATAGAGCATGGATTTGACTTCAGGCAGTAAATCAACTGCGAACAGCAAGGACTTCAGAGACGGCTCAAGTACCCCCTTCCCCTGCCCAATGACGACATGTTCAGTGTTTTAAAGAGTAAAATGTATCTGGCTCATGACATTGATCATCTTTTCTCCATCCATTCTTTTCCACTCCAGTTAAATCATACCTTGATGAAGATACAATATGACTGTAATACTGTACTTCAAATATGTTTTGAAATATGTATTAATGTAGTTCACTTTATTGATACACACTTCAGCATGTTTTATGTAGCAGGGAGTGTCCTCGGCACTGGGGTGACCAACATGAAGAAGACAGCTGCTTTTGGTGCCTCAGTTTCCTCAGTTTGTCAAACTTAGATCACAGTAAGAATCCTGGTCATGACCAACCTCTTATATCATGGAAAAGATTTTTATATTTTATTCTTTAGATCAAAGTGTAGTCTACTTTTTTAACATGCATACAAATCAGGGGTGCCTAGGTGGCTCACTTGGTTGAGTGTCTGACTTCAGCTCAGGTCGTGATCTCAAGGTCCGTGGGTTCAAGTCCCACATCAGGATCTCTGCTGTCAGCATGGAGCCTGCTTTGGATTCTCTGTCCCCGTCTCTCTCTCCTCCTCTCTCTCTCAAAAATAAAAAAAAATATATTAAAACATAAAAAACCATGCATACAAATCAGCTGGGAACTTTGTTACAATTCAGCTTCTTTTTTTTTTTTTTTAAATGTTTATTTATTTCTAGGAGACAGAGAGAGAGACAGCGTGAGCAGGGAAGGGTCAGAGAGAGAGGGAGTCACAGACTGAAACAGGCTCCAGGCTCTGAGCTGGCAGTCAGCACAGAGCCTGACGTGGGGCTCGAACCCACGAACCGTGAGATCATGACCTAAGTGAAAGTCGGACGCTTAACCAACTAAGCCACCCAGGCACCCCAAGCTTCTGATTCAGTAGGTCTAAGGCCCGGCCCCAGAATCTCCATCTCTAACAAGCTCCCAGATGGTGTTAATAATTCTGGTCCATGGACACACTTTGAGTAAGAAGAATCTGCATATTACTTGTATCAATCACCTGTGTGACACCTGTTAACTGTGCACATTCCTGGGTACCTCCCTCAACTTTTTGAATCAAAATCTGCATTTTATTTATTTTTTAAGTTTATCTAATTATTTTGAGAGAGAGAGAGAGAGAGAGAGAGAGAGAATATCCCAAGCAGGCCCTGAGCTGTTAGCATAGAGCCTGATTCAGGGCTTGATCTCACAAACTGTGAGATCATGACCTGAGCCAAGATCAAGAGTCAGAGGCTTAACCAACTGAGCTACCCAGGCACCCCTCATCAAAATCTGCATTAATATGTTCTCCAGGTAACTTTTTTACACAATAAAGTTAGAGAACCACCAATTGGTTGATGGGAAGCCATTGAACAGTTAAGAAGATGCGTGCTGTGTTTGTTATTGTATTTATTATGTTGGGTTGTAGAAAGGGAAGGTGAAAAGGGAATTCCACTGAGGTGAACCGCAGGCGGGGAATGGGTGGAGAAGCTAAGACAGGACTGTAGGGGGATGGGTCTGAGGACATTGAGAGGGTACGGTCGACAGGATTCAGTTATGAGTGGATCTGGGGGTCAAGGAGGTAGGGGAAGGCCAGAGTGACCTTCCAGGTTTTGGTTTGGATGTCCAAATTGCTGGTTGTGCCAATAAGATGGGGAAGCACTTTAGTGTGGGGTGAAGAATGCAGACTGGAAAGCGGGAAAGAGTAGATTTGAGACCTGTCTTCAGCGCTGACTACTTACACAGATTTGGCAAGTTAAGTTTTCATCAGCAAAACGCAGATGATGGTTTTTGCGGGGTAATATTAGTACCATTTTGCAAAGGTAGAAATAGAAGAGTGGGGAGGGTAAGTTGTCGCAGCTCCCTCGGGTGGAGAAGAGTGGAGCCAAGGTTTTCACACTGACCTTCACTCTTTGGCAGTCTCCACTCTGAACACTTAGCTCCAAGGTTTGTCCATGGACAGATGCTCTCAGGTAGTCAGAGGTGCTCACCCAGTCAACTTCCTTCTCATTTCATGTTTTCTATAGGCTCTTACTTCACCCCGGAGCTATCTGTCCCCCCCTTTACAACTGTAGAAAACCCCTCCCTTTCATTGATCTTAGCTCATGTAAGATGATTTTCAAAAAGACTTGACTTAAGATGGAAGAAATACTGCTAGAAAAGATGCTGGAAGCAGAAGAAATTTATAAGCTATAGGTTTCTAACCCTGCCTCACTTAATCTCTCACCCTGTCGCTGGGGCAGCTGGCCTGGGGCACTTGGTTCCTGGCTCTCTTCCCAATTTTTTTTTAATGTTTTTTTTTTTTTTAATTTCTAGGAGAGAAAGAGAGACAGCGTGAGCAGGGGAGGGTCAGAGAGAGAGGGAGACACAGAATTGGAAGCAGGCTCCAGGCTCTGAGCTGGCTGTCAGCACAGAGCCCGACACGGGGCTTGAAACCACAACCGTGAGATCATGATCTGAGCCAAAGTCGGACGCTTAACCAACTAAGTCACCCAGGCACCCCTCTCTTCCCAATTTTTAACAGATAATGTGTCCTCTTAAGTTTAATCCCTGCAGGTCTGCCCTGCTCCTTGGTTTGTAGTCATGGCCAAGGGAGAGTTCCTACTTCTTCCTTCCTAAGATCCTCTCTCTTGGCTTAAAGGCTCTGGCTTGTGATAGTATGGCTGTGGGGTAAAAACTTCACCCTTCAGGTAAGATCCTATTCCTCATGCAAGAGTGGTCTTGGTCTGGTCTCATAGATCCATTGGGTTAACACCACCTTAAACATTTACCATCCAAACAATAATATCCTATCATATCCAAGCAATCAATCTCACACACAAACATTAATAGGCAGTTGGTACTGATTACATGTTTGCTGAGTTGTTTTATTTAAAATGGAATCAGACTGTCCTAATTTATGACCTTATTCATATTAATTATCTGATACCTTTCTCCTCTTTATTTTCTCTTTTTATTTTTTATTTTATTATTTCAAAATGACAAAGCCCAACCTGAAACCTCCCTTTGCTTTAATCTTCTGTCTTCCTTCCCTATGCCCTGTGTCCCCACTGACTGTACTTGGAATTACCCTCATCAAGAAATCACATGGCTATCCCATTTCTGCTTTCAAATTTTTGCTTTAAAGTCACCTTATCTGAGAAAGCACCTCTTATTTTTGTATATAAACTAGTACAGTATCCTTAACATTTTTCCATTCCCCTTACCTTGTCTTGTTTTTCTTATTAGCAATAAAAAAATTGCCACCAGATATATTATAGATGTATTTATTTATTTTTATGTCATCTCCATTAGAATGTTAATTTCACAAGGATATAGACTTCATGTATTACATCCCCTTCTAGAAAAATGTCTAGTATGTAGTCTAACTCAGTAAAAATTTGTGGAATGAGCAGATAAATAAATTAATTAGCTACTTGAAAAAAATATATGGGAAGGATGTGCGTGTATAGGTAATTGAAGTTCATTGCAGTTGCTTTCAGGATTATTTTATTTAAAGAATAAAGAAGCAAAAGAAGTTTTAAAATATCACTTATTTATAGAAGTAAGAATGGCATATGACATGGATTATTTTAGAAGCCAGAGACCTAATTTTATTTTGTATATTCCCCCCTCTACCTGATAGCCCAGCACTTCTCATGAAAGAACTGCCTTACCTTGCTCCAGATTCACTGATTTCATGAAGAATTTCTTTGAATCTCTTAAACTTAGAAGTTTATGTTTTCTGCATTTTCCAGGTAAATTAAGAAACAATCCCAAAAATACGTGCAAATAAAATCATAAAGACTTTGTTGAAGAGCATTTGAAATATGTTTCAAAATAGCAACAATAAAGAATTCATTGGCTTATAAAGTTGGTAAATCCATGGGACAGACTGGCTCAAAGCACAGCTAGATCCACTGTTCATTGATTGATATTGTCATAATTTTCTTTCTTCTTTTTTAAAATCTCCATTTGATATAATTCTCATTTTGGGTTTATTTTCAGAATGGATAGCAATAATGGGTCCTGGCATCTACAGGCTTATATAATCATTAGAGCTTCTAATTTCAAAAGCAGAGAAACCTTCTTTTGCTCTGTATTTTTAACAACCCCCACCTCCTATCCAATGATTCTGCTTGGCCAGACTTGAGATTCATATTCCTTTCTGGAAAAATCAATGTTTGTGGGAAAATAAAGCAAACCAGTCAATTTTTGGTACCTTGGCATTTAACCCTGACAGCTACATTAATTAAACAAAATACATGTGTGTGTGTGTGGGGGGGGGTGAAGAGTAGAGTGGGAGCCATAGTCTCCCTAAAAAAATTGATACAAGACAAGCAAAAGGTATCACTTTGTGTCAAGCCAAATGAGATATGCTTGCATTAATTATATTCTGTATAATGCTGTCACTTGAAGTATTATGACACCTTTGGACCATTTTGCTGACCTGAAAAGATAAATGAATTTACATGTCCAATTTCCTACCTAAGAGAAAATAAGTTTTTAGGGCAATTGATAAAGCAGATAAATGTTATACTCTCATTTGGATAATGTTTCATTTTAGAATGTACTTATTTATTTACTTGTATTTATATAGCAACAAGTTTGCTGCTTATGTGTAGATATCAGGATTATTCGAAAGGTTTTGTTTATTTAATGATAGTTTCAAAGATCTGGAGTAATGCAATTTTAATGGGATTTGTTGAGAATCACATTGTGATGCCCACTCAAACTTTTTTTTTTTTGTTTTTTACAAAATGTTCAGAAACTGAGTGGAAGGCAGAAATATATTCACATGGTTCAAAACCCCAAATATAAAGAGGCATACAATGGAAAGTCTTGTTCCCACCCTTGCTCCAGTCTGCCTTACTTCCCTTCCCCCACAGGAAGCCATTTTTCCTGGTTTCTTGGGAATCCTTCCACATTTTCTCTAAGCAAATAAATGTGTGCATGTGAGCAAATACAAGTGTGCAGGTAAGAAGCAGCATTCTGGACTTTGCTGTTTTCACTTAACATAATAACTTGGGGGCTCTACCCCCTGCACTACATTGAGAGTTTACTGTTTCTTTTTTATTACAATTTCAGAGTAACGTATTTTAAGAATATACTTTAATTTAGCCAGTCTCCTTAACAGACACTAGTGATTCCCCTTCATTGTCCCCCCCAACCCCAATGAAATAATTAGGATTTCATATTTTACAGCCTTGATGGTATGTATTAAAAATGATAAAAATAAAATAAAATAAAAATTATTTAGATTTTTGACCCAACCCACTTTTGTTAGTTTTATAGAAAGAGTAATTTAGGCTTAGTGCCAGCCAACTAATGTAATTCAATTCCAACCTCTTAATTCTTTTCAAAATACAATGAAAGAATGGAAAATAATTACCACTATCAGTCTCTGAAAAATGTGTGGCTTCAAGAGTCAGTATACTAGAATTAGATGGTTTTGATGCAGAACCATATTTTTGAGAAACGTCATGGTTAACAATTATGTGGCTTGCTCTGAAAGCTCTAAATTCCTTGACGTGTTGATATTTGTCTTAAATTTGGGGACATGAAGTCTTCAGGCATATTGGGATTGAAGGGGCACTGATGAGCTGCGATATGAAGACAGCAGGGACTCTGCAGAGATTCAGGGCTTACTTGGCTGTAAGCACGACTGATGAGCAGCAGCATTTGGCTCTGGGAGTGATACCTAGATAGGAGCAGAGCCCTGTAAGTAGCAAGGAGGGCAGTTAGTGTTAGGCACCTGGGAGCAGGGTAGAGTCAAGCTAGTTTGGTTTGGTTGCTAGGCAATGGGGTCCCATTACTTTTTTCTTTTTGAAACAAAGGAGTGATGTAATTCAATTGTACCTAGCAGCAGGCATAGGCAGTGATTGAGGGTGCAGGCTTGCAGCCAGGAGTCCCACTTTTGAGGTTATTACAATCATCAAAGTGAAAAACAATTAAGAGTAAAAACACAGCGGGGGGCGGGGGTAGAGGAAAGGGAGTAACTACACTTAAAAAGTAACGTCCATAGGACGTGATCATGGATTACAGATGAAGACTGAGGGAGAGGGCCAAGTTGGGGAGGGTAATGTATTCATTAAGCCATCCAACAAAGGAAGATTGAGTACTTATTTGGTGACTGGCTCCATGCTAGCTTCTGGAGACACAGAGTGAAGAAGACATACATGGTTTCTGTCCTGTTGAGAAAGGCAGCAATTACTAAGTAAACAAACAAATAAGCAAGATGGATGAGTTGTTTCATCCCTTTCATAATCACCTTCTCCTCTACCCCAGTCTGAGACAACCACTGATTTATTTAATGATCCTATAGTTTTGCCCTTTCTAGAATGCCATATACATAATTGTGAAAATGGTTACAAATCTGTATGTGTTTGATGAAACTCGTATACCTGGACCTAAAAAGAATGAGGTTTACTCTACATAAATCATGCCTCAATAAAATGCACTTGAAAAAAGTTTGTATACCAAAAATGTAAAAAAAAAAAATAAGAAAAAGACAAGAAAAATGGATTAATGGATCAGAACAACTGGGATGGCAGAGGGCTGGGGGTATTTAAAATGTGGAGGTCGGAAAAGCTGTCTATGAAGAGCTTACATTCTGTCCAACATTTGTGTATTTCATGTGTTTGGGGAAAAGAAAAAGAGATCAGTGTGGCTAGAATATAGTTAATAAAGAAAAGAGTTGCATAAATTGAAGTTAAGAGGCCAGCAGGGTGCAGACTGTGAAGAGCCTTTTAGGTCACAGTGAGGAGCTTTGGATACTAACCTAAATGTAATGGGAGGCCATTGAAGATTTTAGGTGGAGCTATACCATCTTCTGGTTTACTTTTTTAAATGATCACAATGTTGTTATTTGGGTAATTAACTATAAAAGGAACAAGTGCAAAAGCAGGGAGACCAATTAGGAGACTACAGTAAAAGTCCAAGTGAAAGATGAAGGGGAACCAGATGGCCATAATAGCAGTAAAGATGGGAGCAGGTGGGTGGAAGTTAGAAATAAGTTGTAGATGGATAAAACCAATAAGCCTGCTGATGGTTAGGATATGGGGATAAGGGACAGGTAGGGATCCAGAGCGATTCTCATTTCTTTGGTTTGAACCCACTGGATGATGGTGCTGTCACTTACCAGCTTGGAGAATTACTGAGTGAGGATTCTTTTTAGGGAGGAGAGTAAAGAGTAGAATAATATCATATTTCCCTCATAGACACAAAGGGAGTCACAAAGTTTGGGAGATTTTGGAGATTGCCATTTTGATTAATCTAGATCAATCACATTCACCCTTCTCCCAGATTCTACCTCTCAACCCACTGTTTCTTGAATAATCCCACTAATCTCACATCCCTGGATCTTTCAAGTTTCTGTTCTTATGGCATGACTAAGAAAAATCCACAAAATTACAAAAATGGCTACAATAATTCATTGCAACGCCAAATGTATGCCTCTTTAAAATGTGGGGTGTTTTTTTTTTCAACCCTCTTATCAAGAGATAAAGTTCATTTCTCCACTCTTTGAATCTGTACTTGTGAAATGACTTGTTTTGGCCATTGGAGCCTTAGAAAATATGACATAAATAGAATGTTGAAAGTATTTGTACACCAAGGCTGGCCTCTCTTACTGCAGGAAACTTCCATTTTTCCATGAATGAGTTCAGGCTACTTTCCTGGATGGTGTGAAACTTGAGGTTGTCACCCCAGCTAACATAATCAAAAGAGCATTAGCCTTGGAATTTTCTTTCCTGGCTATGATCATGAGGTCAGATGCCAGGCCCAGGATGGTGACAATGGTTAAATAAGGGGTTTGGGGGGTTCCAGTTGGCCTACTAAGTAACCAGGATCTTCCCTTCAGCAGACAGGTGAAACATTCCTCTTGTAACATACCTAGCCTTTTGGTTAAAAGCAACACATACACATTTACTTAAATAACAAGAAGGAATTAGTGTGTTATTTTTGCTTTAAATGAACCAAAGCCAAGTGACATGAAGAGAAAAAGGAAGCTAAACCTATTTTCTAATCAGCTGAGCAGAAGTTAGCAAAGGAGGCCATTCTGTCTAATGGACCTGAACAGACACAGACATTCAAATGGGCATATTTATAAATATTTTATTTGCTTGTGACTTAGAAGAAAACTCTGAACTCGAGAGAAACATTATGAAGTCATGAGAAGGTTATAAGGAAGTCTTGGGAGCAGATGACCTGATTAAGAAAGTGAAGAAAATCTGGTGGCTGAGATCAGAACTCAAAGAAATAGTATTTAAGAAATATGCATGGGAGGGGAACTAATAAAGTGAGGTCTAGAATGGTGAGGAAAAAGCAGAAGCCAACAAGAGGCATGACAATTTGAAGTGCCTAACTGGTATTCAGATTTTTGGGTTTGAATTCCAAATTAACCAATGACTAGCTGTATAATCTTGGGCAAGTTTCTTAGCCTCTCTTTTCTTTAACTTTCCTAAGTTAAAATGGGAGGATACTAATATATTTAACTTCTAAGGTTTATTGCTAAGATTTTTTGTGTGGGATAAATGTCACAATATAGTTAAAGTTTGTGGAACAGTGCCTGGCCCATCATACATGCCCAGTAATCATTAGCATTACTGTTATGACACTTCAAGGAGGCTATGGGTTTCAAAAAGGAGGGAGAGGCTAGCTGGCATCAAATACTAGGGAGGAGACAAATAAGAAATACACTAACAATGCTTATTTAATCTAATAACTAGGATGTCTTGGGAACATTGGCCAGAACAGT